GGTATCATTGATTCTCTCTCTCTCTCTCTCTCTCTCTCTCTCTCTCTCTCTCTCTCTCTACCACGCGGTATCACCGAATCTTTCGTTTCGAATCAATTCGATTCTAAGCCGAAAAGCCAATTAATTACTAAACCGAATTTATTGGCCGCGATTTAATTGAAATTGACAGAACAATAAAAAAGCACTTTTTATTCCCTCCCTCTTCTCTTTTCTTTATATAAATTCGAAATTTCCATTGCAAGTCCAGAGTTTAAAAAGTTCAAAATAAATTCTCGACTGTGGTAAATAAGAGGTGATTACGAACGTAACTTTGACGTTATCATTAAATTATGCATTTCAAGTGTAAAATAAATATCAATTCAAAATCGATTAATTAGTATTAACTAAAGGTTCTTATTTCTCCCGTATTTATTTATGGTGTGTGGTGAAGAAGAATTCGCATTCATTCGCAACGGTCATAAATTCAAAGGAAGCTACAGCAAGACGATAATTAATTGCAGCTTTAAGAATGATCGCGCAACAAGTTCTACGAGTGCAAGGTAATAACTTAAATTGCATGCTACAAAGCCACTATTATCATCGTTGTTTCCTCAATGCATATAACAAAATTTTAAATTTATGCGCATTCCATTTACCCATTCTGCTAAATTTATCTTTCTTTACTGGCAGTGAATCAGATTTGAATTGACTACATTTTTTTCATTTTAATTAGTTTGTTATTTTTGTTTTTCGTTTCCATTCATTCTTTAATTGCATTTCGTCACATTATTCTAAATGGCCAATTGAATTGAAAAAGCTTGTTCAACGGGTTCTTACAGCAATTTGCAATTGTAGCACTTGTCGGCTTTCTATCCGGTGGAATAGTAACCGAGAACAGTCAAACTACATTATTTCGCATCATGATTAATTCATTTTGCCAGGGCCAGAGATACAAAAGCTCTAAAACCCAAATGAAAATCATTCTAAAGATAGAGCAAGGTGTTTCCAAAATAGACGATTTCGATCATGATTACGAATCGAATGCAGTTTGACCTGCGGCTTAACAAAACCACCGCTTAGAATGGGAAATGATTCGATGCATTGAATTGGAGTTCAATTGAAAACTTGATCAAACTCATTCATTGGTTTAAAACCCGAAATGTCTTATCGAAAATTTTTAAACCAAATGAAAATCGATTTCCGAACGAAAGTTTTTTATTTACTTTTGGGTGGAGTGCATGCGGTTTTAGCTGGTTAAATACGATTGAAATGTGGGCGAAGTCTGTTTTCAAAACACATATTCGCACCCGATGGCTGTTGACTAAAACAATACAAACAAAACGAGTCGATGTGTTCGAACAGCAGCAGCAGCAGCAGCAGCAGCAGCAGCAGCAGCAGCTAAAACTACACAGAGAATTACTAATTTTCCTTCCATTTCAATCGTCCAAACTTTTGTGGCAGCGAATTAATTCAGATGGTGTGCTTCAACCAATATATAATTCCATTGTTCACGTGGCTCCAACTCCGAAATTGTTCCACAAACTATTCTCGAAACACAACTATTTACATTATATATATTGTATATGACGATGTTGAGAAGCGACATCAGCAAGTTGTGTTGTGCGATTCTTTTGTTGACTTTGTGCGAGACACAACTGGAGCATACGGTACACAACAACCCAAACAACAATTCGAATGGTAGAAAAAGTCATTTCTTTTCTTCTTCGGCACTGAATGGACAATAATGACAAGAAAAACTCGACAAGAGGAGAAGCGAGTCAGAGCGAAAGCAAAATGAACATGTTTCACAATGTCCAAAACGTCTTGATGCTTGGGGATGAAGATCCGACATACTTTTTGTAATGCGAACTGACTTTAACACACTTATTTTTTTCGTTGTGTCGCTTTGAAAGATATAATATGTATTGCCAGTACACATATTTTCAGCGAAATTGAGCCAAGTGGGTAATATTTATGTGAAAAGTGTGAATAGAAGTAAGACGACGAGAAAGAGAAAAAAAATGGATGCGAATGCTCGCACAAGACCAAATAAATAATTTCCTTTTTGCTCCATTCGATGCACTGTGTGTGTGTGCGTTGCTTGTGTTAAGATTCAATGACATGACCAATTTTAAATGCGCCACGACTGCTGAGACAAAGCAAATCTGACACCGAAAACCCTCATGTATTGGAACGGGCCAAACTTATCGAAAAGCGTGCGTCGTTTGGTTTGGATTGCTCAAAAGGGAAAAGTTTTTCCGTTGAAAATTGTGATTGTTTTTTTTCTCTCTCTCTCTCTCTCTCTCTCTCTCTCTCTCTCTGTCTCTCCCATATACATTTTGGTATGCTATAGCGCTGAAGCAATATTCTTTTTATTATTTTACGATGCTGTGTGCGACATCATCACCGACATTGTTTTTCCTTTGCTGAATCTAGCATCGAAACCTCGACGACGACGACGATGGCGAGGTGACGCTGCTTAATTGTATTGCTTTCTTTCAAAAAACAAATTACACAATGCGCCGAGATTATCCCGCGGAGAGAAAAGTTACTGCCGAGTATGTATTGTGTGTGTGTAGTGCGAATGGAATGGTTTCTAATAAGGAACGTGACGAATTAAGCCAGATTTCGTTTCATAACGAAGAAAGGAGTTGTGGGGAATGACAAAAACGCAAACGAAAGAAGAAAATAAAGGTTGCATTATTCTGGGTGGGTCTTGGTGAGATTGATATTTCCTTGCCACATCTATACAATTCAGCATTCGCACAGCCAAAATTTTTATTTATTTCATTTTGGTTGGTCGTGTTGGCGAACACATTAAATTGAACTCATAATTCGACTTATACACAGCAAAACATTTGAGTGTAAAGTGTACACTTGAGTTAGGTTAATATAGCGGTTTCAACTATTTTAGGAGAATTTACACCGAATTTTGGGTAAAATGAGTTGTTTTCTATGCGTCTGTCCGAATGGCTACTGTTCATGTACGCACTAATACATTGGCATGCACTGGTGCCGAGTCTGTGAGTTTGTATATATTGTATAACCCGTTGAGTACAAAAATTACAATACATACAAGCTCACAGACTCGGCACCAGTGCGTGCCAATGTATTAGTGCGTACATGAACAGTAGCCATTCGGACAGACGCATAGAAAACAACTCATTTTACCCAAAATTCGGTGTAAATTCCCCTAAAATAGTTGAAACCGCTATATTAACCTAACTCAAGAGTAAACTTTACACTCAAATGTTTTGCTGTGTAAAATTGCCAATTTTACCATTTGTTTGCGATTTTAACGTTCACTTCCTTATCGTATCTCGTAAAGAATGATGTACAAATTGCAGAAAACATGGATCGGCGCTTCGATGCAACATCATCATTCACAATGCAATTCCATTTGCAGAACACATTGACTGCTGAATCATCATCGTCATTCGCATTCTGGGATGGTAATCAGTTGATGTGTGGCATGTAAAAAGTAATTTTTTTCCCTCTGTTCGTATCATTCTTTGCATTTAAATGCATGATTTCCTTTATGTCTTGATTCGTTCGCATTGTCGGCGATACGGCAACACTTAATGCAACACAAGAGCATTAAGTGCTGCTTCGCCGTATTTATTTTGCTTAATTTCTTCATTCGCCCATTTCGTATTCGGCATTAAAATGCGTTCGCGGTTTTCTCGTTGTCGTTGTCGTCGTCGTCGTCTGTTTACATCAACAAACGCTCGACACTCCACTTCATTCCCATAAACGGTTGCACAGAACTGCTGTAACACATACACTCAATTAAACACTCCACATCCAGTTTCGAGATCACGCCAATACAAATACGTTGCAGTATGCTATCGCTTATATGCAAATTCAATGCACACACTTTAATGCACCGAAAAAAAAAGAGAAAAAAGACGACGCGGCACAAAAAGGAACAAGACAACTTACCCATTGAACTAAGTGAATATATATATTCATTTCATCGTGTATGAAGAAAATCAAAGTTACACGAACAAAACACAAAAACTGAACACGTATTTTTGTATGCCTCTTTAATTCTGCCAACGAATGCGATGAACTTAGTCTTTCCAAACCAATTGATGTGAATGCAACCGCGGAAATTAAATCGCACATTGTTTACTTTACGTTAAATTTATTTCCGTCGACTGTGAGATTTCTTGCTGATTCTTAAAACTTTCTTTGAACTGTGATACTTTCGGTGCAGAATGAAAAAAAAACTCAGTAATTTTTGTGACAGCAAATGTTTACGAGATTTTACAGAATTGTGGCGAAATTAAACGTTTCAGAATAATTGTTTGCTACTTACATTTTATGCGAACATTACCAAAAGACTCAAGTGCATGTGATACTTACGAAGTTTTCAAGAAATTACAAGTTCGTTCAACTGTTTGTTATTAATGAGTTATTTTTTCAGTTATACAAGAAGAAGTGAAATACACCCTGAAAATTGGATGTGTTTGAATAAATGGATCCTTGCCTAACGTGAGTATATTCTGTATTCAAAGAAAAATGATCAAATACTTATCCAATGTTTCATTTTCGTATCCAACCAGTAATTCATTCTCGTATGAGCAATGCATATACCCATTCTTGATACCTTCAAAAAATGATTTTAAAAAATGACTCAAATGAAAATTGAACGATAAATTACAATGAAAGTAGAAAAAATGTTCATTTTATTCCAAACGATAACAGTTGCATTCTAATCGTCTCGGCAAAAAAAAATTGCGGGAGTTCCTTTGACTTCAAATGAACTAATTCGATATCTACTCATAATTCGAACTCAACACTAATTTGCCCAAGAATTACAATTTCAAGGCACATTTTTTGATTTCACGCATTTTTTCTTCACTTTTTTGTTTCTGGCTTATTTTTTCTACATGAGGTCTTCATTTCGATATCTAGACTAAAACTAGGATTTGAATGTACACTGTATAATTTAAAAAAGGTATGAAAAATAGAAGGATTTAAATTATTCTATGCACTTATCACTTGATAATGTTAATAAATGATTCAATCTAATTGAATTTCAATGTTAATCTACGAATTAAATGGCAAAACACTTTTGCAATGTGTCTGGTTTCTGCGGACCAAACACACCATCCGTTCTTTGTTAAAAAACTGCAGCATTTGTCTTTCATCAATTCAATTTGTTGACGATTGTATAAACCTTTGGCCAATGAATCGGTATTGAACATCGATTGAATGAATTTGTAGTCTGCATCCACTTGAAGTTGTTTCATCGAAATTGACGCCACATTCATCGTACAAAGTGCACAATCGCACTGAAAATTGTATCTGGTTTGCAGCACTTTTTGGCGGTCCTCTTTGCCTGGGAACATTTCGTCGATGTTATCAATGTACGTCACGAACAGTTGTTCATTTCTCCTAATGGGCCGAATGGTGACGCAGTTGATAAAGCCATTTGCATGAATGATGCATACATTCGGCACGCAAGAGTGATTAAAATACGAGGCGGTGATGCTCAATTGATGTGACTTGATGTATTGTTTGCCTTCGATAGATCTGCACCGTATGGTTTGCGTCGTATTTCTGATGATCATCATGTGATGGTAAATCAAATGCATCAAAAAGCGTTTCTGCCCTTTGGTTTTGAAAAATGTAGGCATTGATGGCTGTTTCAAAATTTTCTGATGCATTAAATAAATCATTTGTGCTTTGATTTCGCTGTTTTGATTCGTACAGAGATTGAAAAATGACTGGTATTTCGACTGTCGTTCAGACAGTGGTGGTAGTGGTTGATTTGCCAGCATTTTTTCAATGATAGTAATCAATTGATTCACATTTTGAAACGCATTTTTTGCCATCCAAATCGATCGCACTAAACTAGTGTCAAGAAAAGTAGCAAACGGTCCCAGATGAAAATTGCAATCGGCACGGTGTAGATCACTTTTCTCGCAATCCAAGCAGAACATTGCTTTGGTACACTGCAGGCATGGTTTGAGGTTTCTTCTGGTGCGCAGGCAAATGATACAAGTTTTATATTTTTCACGAACACTTTCACCCAGATAGCTTTGCTCGACCATCACCGTTTTACCCACTTCAATGTCATCGGTGGCTACGATATGTCGACCGTATTCACTGTTGTACAGGATTTCCACCATACACGCTAAGCTCGAAAAATTGGCATTGGCTTCAAAATCCAAATGTGTGTGTAGCGAATCACTTTGGTCCTTCTCCGTTCGCATTGATTGCACGCATTTATTCTTAAGTTTGTTCAATCCGGCCAACATTTTCGGTGGATAGTGATTTTTTATGGCGAGCTCAATGTCAATCAGGCAATTTTTGAACATTTTCATCGTCAGAAAATATGAAGATCGATTTCCATAGGCCAATCCAAGAAATATTGATTGTTTCTGAGCGAAACACAACGACAAGTTCCAATTTTCCAACGCTTCTGTCCAATTTTTCTCGCCATATTTCTTATTACCGCGTCGCCAATATTCCTCGGCCACCTCATCACTTTTTACATAAAAAACTTTGTTGGTCTCCAAACTGGCTTGAACTTTTTCATACATTTCGTCGACTCGTTTGGAATGGTTCGGCAGCGATTGACACAGGTCAATATACAATGAACTTTGATGTGCTGTCTCCTTTTGCCACAACATTATCACGGATTAATTCGAGAAAAAAAAATCTCTTTAGCTAAACTATTTGGGTTAGTGACAATTTTTTTAAACTGTCACTTCAAGCTATACTCAAGAATCGGCGAAACTGTCACTTTGGGTTGTGTCCAAAAAATTGTTGTTATTCAATTACAATCTGGCGATGTGATCACTTCTTTGGTTCACAGCCGAATGAGAAATGTTCGACGAATGCGGCGATAAGTTCAACATAAACGAATATTGACGTTAATTCGATTGAGATGGGTTCAACATAAACCAAAATCTGTGAGTGTGTTACACGAATTGACATACATTCAACTCATTGGGTTAGTGTGCAATAGAAAAAGATTTTTCATGTTTATACGAAGTGAACGTGAGCGCCAAAAAAGTCAGTCCGAAGAATAAACGAATAATCAATGTGCTCCAAGTCATCAAAATTCAAAACAAAAAACAAGCAACCAAACAAAATATTGCCACCTCATGCCATGACATGGCTGCCGCACGGTTTTCGTTGAAATGAATATTAATCGTTATAAACATCGAGAGGAAATAAACTTTAAACATAAACAATGTTCAAACTCGAAAGCAGGCTATTCCAGTGCTGTTTGCAAGAGAACCGTTTCAACTCTTCATTCGGAAATTGTGTTTCATGTTTCAAGCAGTCGAGATAAACAAAAGCCTTAACATCCCGAATCAATAATAACAATGTAATTTATTACTTTTGACACTTAACAAGCAACAAGATCAACTTTGGCACAATTCAACTTCACTTGGTTTACTTGGAATTTAACAACAGAATATTCGGTTTAATCGAGAAATGCATAACTCCATGAATTATTTTGAAGCATTAAGCATTTTGGCAATGCATAGCCATCACATAATATGCTCTAGCATATGCTGCAATAAAATTATCTATCATCGATTTCAATAACACAGTCGTAATACTGATTTTGGGATTTGTTGCATCTATGCCATGCTCTCTGGCATTTCAATAATATATTACAAAATGGAATGGAATTCATCGCATATCGGGGAATTGTTTTTGGCTAAAGGTTAAATACATTCCGGATGGAACACAATGGAGTGGTGTACAGGTGTCACCTTCTCGTTACGATTGATTTAGTGCACAAGTGAACGGAAGGAACTGTAGAAGAGAGAGAGAGAGACACACACACAGCAAGAGATTAAGTTCTAAAGTGCAGAGGTGATTCGAATCGAGATGTGGTACGAGCGTGTTGGTTTTTCATTTCATTTTGTTTCGACGTACGTTTACAATTGAAAACCAAGAAACAGAAACCATAATTTGTGCAAAGTAATTCAAGCGATAATTCATTATTAGTCGGATAGAAAGTTCGTACTCGTTTCATTTGGCATGATGACAGCCGTATAGCTAGCGACTGTTTGCACACAAATACACACACATTCGAATACAGAGCATGATAGAATGAATTTCGAACATTTGGTGTTTCAAGAGCGAACATTCAACATTTACACGTATTTCAAATGACTTGGTGTATTTGTTTGTACAAGCAACAAAAATAAAGCAGAATTTATCGCGTTTGTTAACACAAGAACGCCATTCGCCGAAGCTGTACTAAGTGAAAAATGCAAATATTTATGAAAACTTATCCAGTTTATATTTATACAATTGACGACTACAATTCGGTTTAATGCGACCATTCATTTTAATTTTGGAATGAGTCGCAAACAGTTTTCAAACAAAAGCCAATCTCACCACGACCACATTCACTCGGAATATTCTCGATGCTGACAAAAGACACGATCTGGTTACTCTGTAAACAAAGAGCATTCACATCTTCGCATTTAAGTGCTTTGTAAATAGACGGCATAAACAACGCGAAAATGCTTTCGGTTCCAACATTTTTAGCCACGAAATTATTGTGTCTACTACTAAAAATGACTCAATTCCCATTCACTTTCGTTCTTAAATTGATTGTGTGAAGAGAAACGGAAAATTGCTGCATTTTTTCTTTCGTTTGAATTGAAATTTTATTGCGTAAGAAATCGTCCTACGTATTTTACATGTTCGTTATGAGTTATGACTTACCATGACTTTTTTCACAAGTCTTTTCCTTGATTTCTCCCAAGTTTTCTCGTTTGAAGAATTCTGTGATTTTTCCCACATTTTTCAAGCCTGTGAATTTTCAATAAAAATATTTTTCAAATGTTGCCTTTTCGACTTTTTCACGGCCTTTTTCTAGACACCATTAATGGTACCTTTCAGCTGCATTTGATTTAGTTAGAATGGGCGCAACGTGTGTATTTTGTTGTTGTAATCAGTCACTGAGTGTACCTGCTGCACTGTTCTAATTTACAATCACCTCCGGTTCCAATACCAACGTCTAAAGTCATTTAGAGGCAAATCAAGCGATGCGTTGGTGTTTCAATTTAATTAAGATAGTACAAATGATAATAATCAATAGATAAATGCTTGATAATGCAATAAAATTATTAATCCAATTAAGCGCTGAGCCGCAAATGGATTTTCCTGCGAATTTGTGCATACTCATGTGCTCTCAAAAGTCATTGATACGAATTTTGCTACGCAAAAAGACCTCGTTCGGTGCCGGGTGTTCAAATGTAAATGGAATTTTTGCCATCAAGAGCCAATTCAACGCCGTATTATTACTTATTTATCTAGTGTAATTTTAATGGCAATTGATTTAAATGAAGCGCATACTTCATTTCGACTGCACCCAAAATTCCCGTTCTCTTTCGCTTCACATCCATTCGGAATGGTAGGCGTTTATTTGTGCTCATTTAATGTTGAATGCAATGAGCGTTCAAGCAAAGCGTACGTGCAGTAAAGAGTCTAGTAGGTAGTCTGCACGAGCGCTAGAGAAAGAGACCGTGTGTGTGTGTGTGTGTGTGTGTGTGTGTGAATGCAAGTTGACGGTATGTTTACGATGTACGCGGACGTGTTTGGTATTTAAATGCATTTTGTGAATGAAAAGATTCATTTATGCATTAACTTGATTTGCGTTCGAATTAAATGAATGCGCGACAATGGAAATATGTGCAGTTCGTGTGTGCAATACCATATATTTCAAGCCCATATGAATGTTGGCGAACAAGTGCAAACGGCCGCTTTACTTTGGAACATAATTTTTGCCTTTTTTTTAGAAGTACAAAGAAACGAATGATAAAATTGGTTTTAAAAAATATTCCTCTTTATTATGACTTCGACTTGAATTGTTGGGAGAGAGTTAGGAGGATAATCTGATTTTTAATTTCACTGATGAATGATTAGTCGTCATGTGCTACACTCTAAAATTGACGGCTAAATCGATGATAAGAACACTACTAGCTGGCATATGATTGATTAATAACGACCGTTGCGATCGTTGCGATCGTTTCTCTCCCAATATTGTGGAGGATAGTACGCATGTTGATGTTCTGTGTATAACCCAAAATGTGTGCCTGGTGCCGCTAACTGCATCGAAAAAGAAATACAAGAAACTCGAACTTGGCTCAACACTTACTATTTTTTCTATCTCTCACTGGCCGAACTGGAATATCAAACCTAAAGCACATTGTTAGCACATTGAAATATGAGAATGAATCATAAAAAAAATCAAAATACCCACTAATTTGGCGGATCTATGAATTGATTCTATTTTGCTAAATGGTTTTTTGAGGGATTTTATGGCATCTAATGTGCTCCACTACTAGCCAATCGCTAGCTATACTATAACTTTGACATTCCAGATGAACACCAATTTAACATCAAATTACCCGTTTTAAGCTGGTAATCGTTGCTATTAGCAACGCCATTTTACCAAGCAGCAACGCTAATCCAGCAATATTGGCCATGATATGGAAACCTAACGGAATGATGACCAAACCTAAAGCAGCCATACCGAATACCATCGCTGGCATCATTCTACGTCTATGTCTTCCTCTTGCTTCACCATGTTCTAAGGATGAAAAATATAATTTTGTGGCACTTGAAATACATTTCTAAGAAAAATTCGATAGTTTTTCCAGGAAATTGCACAATTCTTGTGTCCGTTCAGAGAGTCTCTTTTAAGGCGAAATAAAGTCTTTTTAAAAGATCAAAATATATTTTCGAGAGTCAAGTTAATTTACCTGATTCTTGAAGTACCAACCGGACACCATGAGTGTCAAACAGTCCGAAGACACGTTCCTTCAACTCCTCACTCCAAGTGGAATTATCTAAATCAACATCATAATATCTTTGTGCTGGTAATTGAGTGTAGTTCCCATTATGCCAGCTACAAAATTGAGCGTAATTTTCGTTACATTCATTGTAATATGAAAATTGTTTTAATTTTAATAAAAAAAATTACGTTTTCACATCTGGTCGTCGAAGTAATTCAACGTAGTCTGTCAGTGGAATCCTATCATTCTTTGCTATATCATCAAACAGTAGTAAACTGTTGTGTTTGAGGCACGACCATGAATCAGCTAATACTGTGTGCTGCAAATAATTAGATCAACTTAGCAACAGTTTCATTTTTTTGCTCAAAAACTTTGTTCGAATAATTATAATTTTACTATCGCAATGAATAATAATCAGTTCCACAATTCACGTACATTTTTATAGCATTTGCTTAGAACTTTTTTAGCTTCACGTGCAAATACGAGCCATGAATCAGCTGATGTGTGCCCAAGGATTTGATGAAAATTGCACAAAAACACAATACACCACAAAAATGTAAATATTTGATTGTTCACATGCCTGAAAATCAACATTTTTTTCTTTCTGTTTCTCTCCGTTTGTTACAAGCTCGGTTTAAAACAAAATATCACAGAAATTGGGAATCGTGTGTGTTATCGAATCGATTGTTTTTGTGCAAATAAGCTTGGAAAATGGAATTTGCCAGCTATTTATAGACACTTAAACTGGGTTATAGCCCATGCATGCATGGCGATTTTCCGCTAATTTTTTGTTTTTTTCCTTTTTCTTCTGCATTGGTCGAAAGTTGAGGGCGTGTATCGCAGAACAATCATGTCCATTTCATTTGATTTCTAAATCACATTACAATTGATCCGACAGCAATCAATAAAATGGATGGCAATGATGAACATTCATTGAATGCAGTGAAAAGTGTGTCACTGTCAACTGAACCATACACCAATGCGCGTGATAATGGACATACCGATTTTACGTAACAATAAATGCCATTGTTCTAGTTAGACTTTTCTATTTATTTATTTATCGTGCTGCATTTTACGACACACACACACACACACACACACACACACACACACAAAGCACTTACTTTAAAATCATAAGAAAAAATTTCAATGTCTGTCGGTGTTGTCTAAACGACGGCGACCGGAGAAAATTGAACACAAAAAAAATGGAGAGATAAACTAAAAAGCAAACAATCGACGCACATAAATTACGTACTTTGTTACATTTTATACATAACAACAGAAGCAATGCGATTCATTCATTTTGGGCTCAAAAATAGTTGCGTCGTGATAAATACTGTTTACATTTTCTATTTATTCGATGATTAAAGCCGGAGCGATATCGAACGCGACAGAAGCTAAAATTCTTTAAAGAAAAGTAGCATCAGATAAAATTCATCGGAATTCATTCAAAACGTGCCGTAGAAGAAATTATTTTCGTCGCATTTTCAACAAAAGGACATTGATCCAACAGAAACAAGTATCTCTCTTCATTTATTCCTCGTTGTTTATGATGTGAAGAGTTATTTTTCAACTTCTGAAGAAAAAATTCATTATTTCATCCCGAATTCCAGTAAGTCGATCTACAAAGTCGCATTGGTTACTTTTAAAGCGTGAAGCAATAAAAAGAGCATTATGGAAGCAACGAAAAAAAGCATTATGGAAGCAACGAAAAGAGCAATGTTCGTGAGATAATCTCCAATTTGCATACATGGTTGTGATGAAATGTTGGATAAATTCGTTTGATCGACAAACTTAATTCAATTTTCGAATCAAAGATAATAACAAGTTGTTGGCAAAAGAAGGAAATATGCGAATCGAATTTGAGCAAAACAGAAGAAAATCATCAAAATCCGCTTTGGGTACCGGTTGCTGGTCTCAAAAACGTGTTGCGCTGTTGCTTTGATACTTATGCTCTCGTGCGTTTATTTTGTGTGCAGCCATAATATGCGTATTTGGTTTCATTCAACCAAAAATAAATGTTGAAACGGAGACTTTATTAAATCAAAAATGTTTCTTCATGCAAACACACAAATAAATCAAACGGTGAATTGTATCTGACATGGCTTAGGATCAACCTGAAAAAGATGTCAATGGACATGAATAGCGTACGATGACAAAAAAGGTAAATCTGATAAATATTTACATTGATAAATGTGTACAGTGGAAGAGAGAAAGAAGAAAAAAAAAGTAGCAAAGAACTTTGAATCCAGTTGTGGCAACAAAACGTAATTAATTGTGGCTGTCAAGGTATAAACGCTATCGTTGAGTGAGTGGCTGCGATTCGTTTCAATAACCAACGTTCAAATTCATTGGTTTCAAAATTGCCACTATACTTTGAATAAGTCTCGCTCTCACTCACACACACGTACACAAGCACACAACATTAGACCAATTCAAACAGTGTGTTAACCCAAAGCAGAGCGTTGCTTGGCGATCATTCGTGCGACGTCGTTTATTTATTAGCCGAGTGGCATTTCCAATAGTTGAAGCTACGCCACTGTTTGGGTTAATGTTATTTTAAGCGGGCGCTGTGTTGTGGTTTCACTTTTAAAATGAAAAAAGCAACAAAAAATTACCATAGTTGAAAATAAGTCGCCGAAGTGATCGTTTGTAGTTGGAATGTTATTCTGTGCGTTGGTTTTCTTATCAAATTGCAAGAATTCAATAAAAGTTGACATGAAGCCCAGTCAATTGCTCTCGATTCGAAAGCTATTTTTTTGACGTCGTCGTCGACGTTCCAAAGATAACGGAAACTTGAAAAACGTGCACGCTCATTTCAAAATGAAATTGAATTGTGTGGTATCTCAATTTGCGTAATGTTATTTAGAAAACGATAAATTAATGTGTCCCGCGTGTGTGTTCAGGATTTTCTCTTCTGGCCACAGTGCCCAGAAATTATGAATTGAAAATCATACACATTCATAAAGTGCATGCAAAACGATTATTTTGTCTACGTTCAGTTAACGACAACGATGAAGAAAAAAAGAAGTCAGTCTACTTGTTCCGCACCAGTTCGATGCCGATTCCCATTCATTTTAAAAAAGTAGAGAAAAAAAGAACGTCAGCGACAAAACAAAACCACAAAAGAAAGCGAACAAAAATATGTATGGCAAATTTGATTCTAATGTGTAAGCAAAAATGTTTGTGTGCTGTTGTGTGGTGTCTCCTTTTGCAACATTTTCGTTAAAACGATTGTAACATCGTCGTCGTCGGCGGCGGTGCGGTCGATGCGTTCTGAATGAAAAAAAAATAATGAAAAAACCGAGAAACAAAGTGCCGCAATATCGAATTACACGTGGAATGAAAAGTGTCGCTGTGAATTCTGGCATTTTTTAAACTTACAACAAAAGCCGAAAAAACAACAATTTATGTTTATGGGTTTTTATGACTTTTTGCTATGACTTGCAACATCAACACTTCTTGGAAATTCAGTTATGTATGCTCATGCGTTGAGACGAACAGTTTGTTTTAGTTTGTTCATGACATTTACACGGTGTGCACCATGCGAAATGTAAATACTATTGTTTAGTTGTGGAAAGATCTGTGAACAAGAAAAAGTAGAAGAAGAAGAAGAAGAAGAAGAAGAAACGCTTGAAATAGAAATGCTGATGATAAAAACCTGTTTATTATGTTCTTGGTCATTGGAATATAATTCACCTTTTTGCGCTCATAAACATAGGTTTTGTGCTAGCTAAAGAACAATCGTTGAGTGAAAATGTCGGATTGTGCTGTGGAAAATGTTGAATGCATCGAAACATCAGAAGAAAAATAACGAACGAACCAGCAATAGCAACTAACTTTATAGAACCATAAATCAAAACGAAAACCAAAACCATCTGAGCGAAAGAAATATTTTCTACTGCTGTTGTTCTACCGAACAGAGTGAAACAAGTGTCGAGTTAAACATAATTATTTTGGTGAAGTTTGGCGTCGCGTTTTTCCTCTCTTTCACTTGCTGAGTTTTTTGGTCAATGTACATTGTACATCGATTTAGAATCAGTGATGTGTTTAAATGTCGAATCTGCCGATAAAACGGATAAATTGATTTAAAGCCATAACAAGCCATTGTTAGTTGAAAACACAACGAACTCTTTCGGAAAAACCGCATTGTAAGTGAGAAATTTCGGGAGATAAAAAAACATTCTTGCATCGAACACAACACAAAAATGGGAAAATCATCAAGTAAATTGAAAACGCCACGGCGAAGCCAAAGTACGTATGTTTTGCATTGTTTTTTTTTCATTCCTGTGGTTTAACTTTCAACTCTGTTTTATGTCGGCCACGTTTTTCTCTCTCTCTCTCTCTCTCTCTCCCTCTCTTTCGCCAAGCTGTTTATACATTTAATTTTTTTTGTTCATCTATCCATTGGTCTGATTTTTTCATCCTTTTCCATTCGGTGAGTGCAACGCGCAAATTGTCGGTTTCCATTCCACACTGCTGTTGTTGTTGTTGGTGGTGGTTGGATAAAACTTTTTTTTTGCTCCGTCTTCATTCTCAAATTAAAAACTTTTAATGCAAAAACATAATCTTCGCAGTAAGAAGAAGAGAAGAAAAAAACACACAGTAACCACGTCGATTACGGAGCAACCGATGGAACGAGATTTAATATAAAAGATTGAGCGCACACAGAACCCCACTTATCCAGGCAGAAGTTAAAATTAAAACAGTGTAATTAAGCGATAATTTATTGATGCATATTTTTTCTCTCTCAATCTCTTGTTCGACTCGATTTTGTGCTCACACCAGAGATTGGTCTGGTTTTTTTTTTCGTGGTCGTCGGGCTGTTGCATAGTCTCAAGTGTTTGTGTCTACGTGAACCATGACTCTTGCAAACGGAATAAACTCGTCGATTCACCGTTTCATGCATTTAAATATAAAATTAAATGGCAATCGATTCATTGATCCACGGAAAAGTTGATGTATCGAGTAGGAAAAAAAAATTATACGTGTGCATGAAAATTATGTGTATAAATTATTTATAGGCAAAACTGGAGGGGCACCAATTACCATTTAAATGCGATGAAAATGGCACACAATTGCACACAACGTCACATTAAATTTAACCGGTAATTGCCTGTGAAAAGTCACTTTGAATATCCAATTCACGGCACAGTTATTCAATTTTTCGATAGTCGAAGTGTCAAACAAACAGTATTTTTTTTATGGTTGTTACAATGTTTGGCCAAGTTTACATAGTAAAAAAATTTGTTTGAACTGAATTTATTTCGAATTCTGACAAAGCAGCCGCGGTCTCGGTCTCTACCTCCAGATAAAAAAGTGCAGAATATTTTATAATCATTGCCAGTTTGCCCGATAAAATGACTCAATAAATCAAATTCAATTAAATAGATTTGGGTTACATGTCAGTTGAACCGACTCGGTTCTACCGTATTATGCGGTAAAATTCAACAATGCAACTCTAAATTATTCAATAACTCCGATCGACAACATTTCACTGCAAAACATGTTCGAATCACAATCTGCACCAATGATTCGATTTATCCAATAACACCGGAGTAACACAGACATACACAAGTGACATTTCAATTGAAGACATTGGCTTTTGAAGATAATTACTTTTGACGTACAACTACATAAAATATGCACAACGTGGTTGCGCAGACGGCATGGGTTTTTGTTGTGTTCACTGTGCATTCTGAATAAGGACATGACCAATCGATTGAAATGTCAATTTATTGCGGTTCTCAATTAATCATTCCTATTTTATATGCCAAATGTGTAGTCGAACACATTTTTATTTTCAATGTTTTTTGGTGTATTGTTTGATTTTGTGTGTTTTTTTTTCATCTTTGCAATGCTCATTGAATACTGAACAATGTTTAAAGAAAATAAGTTATGAGTACCTCGTAAACATTTTACACGTACTCTTTTCTTAACCATGATAACACGTTCTTCAAATGATTTTCATTGATAAATAGTTAAGCGACATACAATTTGTTTGACACAAACAAGATGTTTCATTCTTCGAAGGAAAAAAAACACGTGAACTAAGCCCAAAAGTAGGTTTCACAAATACAAAAACCTCTGCATTGCACCGACAATGGATGCCATTGCATCGCATTTCAAGTGACTGCATGAGTCTTTTGTTTTGAATTTCATGTTGCACGTCGTCAATCTTATCTCGGCCGCTTTATTATAGTTTGTTCTGTGTCACTCCTCACATTTATAGCTGTAAACAGACGAGCCTAGGCTGAATTTTTGCTGTTTACCAACGCATAGTATTAATAACATTGGCGTAAATCCGTTGCCAACTCACAAAATGAAGATTATCGCTTGCACTATAATTTTTCTGTGTTTGTTGATAATCACAGCAAATAGATCTTGTTCTTTTTGCTGCTTCAAGCATTTATTACGTTATCGAACTTTAATGACTTTGTGTAATTCCATTAGGTGTTGTCTGTGTGTTGGGCTATTTTGTCGACGGTTTCATTCATGTACAGTGTCCGCCTACGAAGCTACTGTCGATTACAATTTGCATGTGCTCGTTCACAGCATTCATGCTGCACCTCCAACGAGTCATTAACAACGACCAGTAGCTGCCTCTTCGCAGCAAGGAAACCAAAAAAAAAACATTCATTGGTGGAACTCTATTTTTATCCAGCATCGTTCGTACAAATTTTATAATCTTGTAAATTGTTGATCATCAATCCTGTTCGACCAGATCCAGTAAACAATGTACAGAAAAGAATCAATGGGGGCTTTGCTACAATATATGCAGTTTATGATGATGGTGTTGTCATTGGTATCAAATCATCACTTTGGTGTAAACTGTTCTGTTCCATTGTAATGAATTTACACCGACTGAAAATAGATGCCTATCTGAAAAAGATATAACTGCAGTCGGCTCCGGTGTTTTGAATGGATTTACGATGCAACTTGCAAGTGAATGAAATTGTGTGTAGGCATTTGGGCTTGGAACAGTCACACAGTATGCTGTCAAGAAGCAATGAAAAACATTGGCACATACGGCATGAATGCAATTTCATTTTATTTTGTTGCAAGCGATTCGGCTTTGGGCTTAAAGTGATTTAAACATACTGATAACCACCGTCTCAAACAATACAGTCAACTTCGTTTTCCATTGAGGCAAAATCGCATACAGATTCTCTTGTCGAGAATTTCAATTAAATCCGGTTTTGTGATGTCAGTCTCAAAAGATTACAACTCAACTTCCTCTGGATTTCTTTCGATAATCGATGTCTCTGTACGACAAATTGACTCTGCTCTTGCGAATATCGCCTAGAATGAACGTGCGACGACGGCATGCGATGTAATTCGCTATTTCGAAGGTGACAATGTTTGAACAACTGCAGGCTATCGATCGCCGCGTATACTTCCATCTCTATCCCTCCCTCCCCCCTCTCTCTCTCTCTCTCTCTCTCGATTTTGCTTTCGTTTCGCTTATCGTATTCTCATTTGCTTGTCTACTATCATCACACGTAAACACAGATACGTAACGCAAACCCACACGCTCTTTCCCAATAGAAGTGAACGTGTGAAATGGCTGGTAATTGAGTGCGTTCGGTAAGGTGTTGGTCCCAACACGTCTCACGTAAATGTTTTTATTGAATTGTAATTGAATGAAGTGATCGGTTAGATAGTGTGCGCGTGTTTCTTTTCCATGTGTTTACGTTACGATAACTTCGACGATGTCGACGACTACGACAACATGTAAAACGAACGATTTAGACGCGTTTATTGATCGTTTTTACCGTCATCATTCAATAGAAACACGCTCGCGTTGCTCAAAGGGAACCGAATGAAATTAGTAGTGCGTAAACAGCAATTTATACAGCTCCACCGTCAAAGCGATTCAATTTCACGTGAAAGTTTCGCCGAGATTTTGTGAACGTTGTTTTCGAATTTAGTTGCATACGAATTGTAACGGTAATGCTGCACTCATATATGAGCCTCAGCTTAGTATATGTGCTAATTTCTGAAGCGGAACTTGTCAATGCTGGTTTTATGGAACAACATCTAAAATGTGTTTTTTTTACGTTTGTCATTACGCAAAGTGGTTTGCATTTTGTGAATTACACTTTAGTCAATGTGTTTAGTACCATTTAGGCATTTAAAAGTTGTAGTTTTTTGCATTTGATTGAAATTAGTTCTCTCGAATATAAACACGATTCACTCCATTGATTGTTTTTATTAATTTAATTTTTTTGTCTACATTTTTCATCAAGGTATGGCATGGAATTTTCGATTTTCCACACTGAGCAAAAAGGAAATGGGTCCAATAATGGTATTGCCGCGACATCCACACTTCGAAATATCCGCTTGGCTCGAGATGCTCGACTTGCCGCAGTACAACAGTAAATATCTTCAACCAAAACCACATTTAGTATCCTGATGAGTAAAAGCATTTTCCTTTTTTCCCCGATTCCGCTGCAGAAAGCTTTTCCAAGTTCATCGGTGTGGAGGAATTGATATACTTTTGCGAAGCCGATATCAAACAACTAGGGGTTCGAAACTCGGCTCACCGGGCGCGTATCGTATCCAGTTTGGTGGCGTTTCGTGATAAATACGAACATGGCAAGTTAAACAGAGAAAATAAATCGTCACCGTTATCGCATTTGCATGTGTTTACGTCAATTATTTTCATATATTTGTTTGCACATATTGAGAGTCGATTTTTGTTTCAACCGATCGCTTCATGAATCATGATTGTGTGTGGGAATTTGGTTCGATTTGGCAACAACACACACAAACTGTCATACGTGCAAATCAGCCCATTTAGAAGTCGTATGCTAATTCTTGTTTTTTGTGCAATCGTGTGAATATTTTTTTTTATCTTTATTCATTCGCACCCATGCAATAAAGTTTGCTTCAGCATTGACGTACAGAACACATTCTAGTCAGTTGATGAAGTAGTTTCGTGAATAAAACACTCGATTTAAATTAGTAAAAAAGTAACGTGTTACAATGGAGAAAAAGGTTAAAAAAACGAGAATAAATGAAAAGGATAATCATTTGTCATCGGATTCCTTAATTTCAAGTGGAAGAATGAGTGGCGCGGAGAGAAAACAGTGTCGTTTCACTTATTTTTGCTGTTTATCTGGTAAAATGTCTTGTGATTGATGTGGTGAAATTAAATTTTTGATTTAATTGGCATAAGATCTTTGATCTGTTTTGATATCTAAAAATATATTTGACCCATGGTACTTCTATGATCCAAATTTCGGAGAAAATCCTTTGAAGAATGAAATTTACTTGAATAGAATTTGAAATTGAAACTTTGGACCAAAGACTTTGGTAATAAAACACTCTGTTTAAAAGTACCTCATTTAATTGGTTTTTTTTTTTCTAAATCTTGAAACCGTTGAATCGAACTGATATAAAAGATTGCTATCAACCATTCATTGATGCATAGAAGAGAAAACAAAAATGACTCAATAAAAAGTAAATATTCATTTTTCAGGTTCATCAAGTACTGTGACTACCTTTAATCGAAAGACAACCGCGCGAAAAACGCAACGCTACAGTATGGTTCAAGACAAGAAGCAGAAAGAAACCGTACCAATGTGAGTATATTTTTTGGTGCATTACGTTTGGTACATTGAGTTAAATGATTTCTATTGAGTTAAAAAAAATGGTCGCGTATTGACAATTCCATTTCCCTCGTTGCATACATATCGAATAGAGTTCAGCCCTGTTCGGTTGTAAATCGTCGGTTGTATCGGATAGAATGCGCACTCGTGTTTTGCGCATTTCCAATCGATACGTACGTGAAAATGCTATATATATATGTGTTAAGTGTTACTATCGCAAAACCGAGCATGCATGTGTATTGCACGTTGCCTCTTCATGTTTGTAAAGGCGATAATATTTACGAACCACTATGCGAATCATCCTTTTGAAAGATTGATTGCTTTGAAGATGCTACAAACGCGGTTTCTCTCGTTTGACTGTCTCCCTTCATTCTAAGTTCATTGAATGGAATTGAAAACGGCAAGTCTCAAGGCAGTCCATTTGCAGTGCCTTTGACTCTGTTTGCTCTAAATTAATAAAAATTGATTCATAAATGAAATAGCCAATAAAAAAGGAAAAAATCGTCCCATTTGCATTCAAGACATCCATTAACGACTGTTTATGACAGCGACCAAACATTCAATTTCGTTGTTTGTTGCCGCTGCTGCTGCTGACGTTGAACTTAGTCGTGTGCCTGTGTGCAGTAGTAAATGAGCGTGTGGTTAATTGAAAAAAAAAGGGAATTGCAACAACAACAATGAAAAAAAAAACATGTAGCGAAGAAATGGTGCCTCGAAGTAGTGCACATGCATGTGTCGCACACAAGTCACTCGCAATGTTTTCTTTTTTTCCGCTGCTTTCGTCAGTGGCATTGTAAACAATCAAAGTTGGATGAACTGCTACTGGATGTGAGTCAAAGAGTATTGGCTGAGCGAATGTGTGTGTGTATGGGTGACGTGGTTGATTGTGTGCGCGCGGGCTAGATTGAACGGTGTGCATGTGTGATTGTATTGGTACGCGGAGTGGTTATACTCTCTAACAAAGACCGTGAATCGAGTTAAGGCCTGGGGTCTCAATGTCTAGTCTTCAGCGTTTTATCCTTTTGTACGGTTGTGTGTTTTTGGCGGGCGTACGCGCTATTCGCTTTTTTTCTTATTTCATTCTCTATCTACCAGTTTTGCATTCGAGTTTGTGTTTTATCGTTTTTATTTTGTACATTTAAACTTTGTCGTTTTTCGTTGCACAGAGAAGAAAAACACTGCCGTGCAATTGTGGTAATTGTAAAAAGTGAAATGTGATTGAAAGCAACAAGAGAAGTGAAATTACCTACGAAATTTTATGTATTGATAGTGACTTTTATTTGCCATAAAATGACATCCTTCGGGGATTCGATCGTTTCAATGTGAAAGGCGTTTTCCAGTCGTAAAAAAACTCATTGCAAATTTTCAAGAGTAATTCATTCATGTGAACATTAGCATTATCAAGTGAGAGATTCTCTTCCCGAGAGTAGTGAAGAAAAAAAATCGAATCAAAGGGAAAAATTGTCAAGTGCAACGAGTGTGTGTGTATGTATGTGAAAAATTAGCATAGCAAACATCATCTTTGCTCAGCAGACTCTTTTAAAGCCAAAAGTTTAGAAAATCTAGTTAGACTCGAGCTCAATAGAAAAGCAGTTCATAAAAGCGAGTGGATTTTTTTCTATATCAACACCATCGCATAAGTGACTGATAGTTTCGTCGAGATTTTTGTAACAAATTTGCGGCGAACAAAGTGAAATCGAATCGAAACCAATCTAAATGGCAATAAAAGGATGAAAATGTCTATCGATTGATTTTTATGTTTTGATTGTACGCCTATCGCTAAATTGTGTTGAACCCAAACAAAAGAGAACGAAAATCGGCAGACATGAACGAGCACAATTCAATGGGATACAGTCGTAACACAGCTACTCCAAATGGAAAATAAGAAGAAGGTGTGTATTGTGTGCCTATGTCTTTTTTCTTCTTTTCTGCAAATTCAATTCTAACTCTCTCACACTCGTATGTGTATATGTGTGTCTCTTCTCTGTCTCGAATTGTTGTATCCATGCGATACAGTCTTTTGGGCGTTTATGTTGCGGGACGATTATAAAACGTCTCGATGATTCCATTTCGTTGTTGTCGACTCTTTTTTTCGCTCGTTTTCGCACCCGCTCGCTATCACCATCCACAATTCTTATTGTGTGCGTTTTTTTTGGGGGGTTTCGACTCCAAATGGCAAAATGTAAGTGTTATCGAGTCAAAGTCGCTTTTCATGAGGCGTGAAACGGTGACATTCGAATGAAAAAGATTCATTTCCGCTAAGAAATTATTATCCATAAAAAACATTATCGACTTTTATGCCATTCTTCTTCATTTGCCGCGAAGCCTGGCTCAAACTAAGTGGAAATGAACAATTCTGTGTCAGTCGACGTCACATTGTAATCTTATTATTATTTTCATTAATTCAACAGACAGACGCTTTTCGTGTTTCTTTTATTCACCCAAAATGGCCTGCAATTTATTCAAATCGCTGTTTTGATTGGATTTTTTTTATCCGAGCTTAACATAATTTGATCTAAATATTTGATTCTACCTGACATCAACCGTTTTACCTACATTATTTTGGTATTCATTCACAGAAACAAAAAAAATCAATTTGCACTGCAGCGCAGAAATAAGGTATCAAGTCCTTGATGTGGGTTTTCGATTAATAATAACCAACAGTTTTTTTAAAGGTAGTCATTAACAGACCATTTTGATTACCATTTCGGTGTTCATTGGCTATGTTTTTGCTCGTGTTATATCAGCCGTTTTTTATTGTTTTCGGTTTTAACTCGGAATTAGTCACTCAAACCGCTTATGTCACCCGGTTTTAGGTGTTTGCGTGTCAAAAGCCATTAAAAACACAAAAGTTTTCGTGGTTCCTTTTGCACCCGAACACATTTGACACAGAAAAATGTCAGGAGTTTGTGTCTTTTCCTCTCTCTCTCCATATCGCACCTATTTTACGACCGTTCTCATTTGGGTATTCCAGTTCGTTGAAGCTCGAAAATAAATCGATTTCATTTCATATTCATGTCACGGCAATGAAAATTTCACAAAAAAAGAGAAAAAAATATATCATCGGTTAAGTGTCTGTGTCACAATGCCTGGGTTTATTAAATAGAAATAATGAAGCAATTACCGTATGATTGCGTCAAGTCTGTTGTGTGGAACTGCATAAATCCTTGTTTATTTGAAATCAATTTAAATATTTATCATGTGCTTGGCGTCGCATATGCTGTGTACTAACATCAAATGTAATCAAGGAGACTCTCATAAAAAATAGAGAGACCACTCATCGGATTATACCGTGCCATTTACATTAATTGTTGGCGCTACCGCATCATCGTATACCATATTTAAATGAAATGGTATAATAGTTCTTCAGTCCGTTTGTACACTGTTCAACGTACCTGCTGCCGTTGCCACACACAAACATACGGAAGACGCATTGGATCTCTATGGTTATTATTTAAGTGCATATTCGATTCGAGTTTTTTGTTGCTTCGGATGAACTGTTTTTGCTCTATCGCACAATGTACACACCGAAACGCCTGTGGATATGTGACGCTGCATAAGCCATAATACCATTTGCATAAATGTATAAATTTCCATAAAATTTCACTCGATTATCCTGAAGTCTGTTGTCTATGTAAATGTGGAAGTAGAAAGAGAGAGAGAGAGAGAGAGAGAGAGAGAGAGAGCGACAGATAACGGACAGCGTTGCTAGGCGAATGGTTTTTGTTTTGCGAGTGTTTTGTGTCATTCAAGCCTTGGAGGTGTTTCGTATACTATGATAGTCTCTTTGGAAATTCGATTCAATCATATTATCAGTTTACCAGTCCAACGATTCCGCAAGTCATTCAACATTTCGACTCTCTCTGTCTGTCTCTCTGGGCAGACGATATTTATTCCGTTGTTCTGATTGTCGTTTTGTTTTGGGGCAAAATTCATGTCAAATGTAATCATGTTTATAGCGCTCTTCATTTCAGTAATTTCTCGTAACAAGACTTATTTGGCACCGTGTGTGTGTATGACTACTGGCCTGGATGGCTGTATGGCTGACTAAATAGCGAGGGTGAATTAAACATTAACTGAGTGTTTCGTAATAGACGACAAGATAGATGTGTAATCGATAACCACGTATGTGTGAGGGCGACGCTTGATTTCGGTGCAAATGACACACGCCGTAGCTTCCGAATGACGTCCGAAGACGACACTATAAATTTTATTGACGCCTCCGTGCATTTGCATCCCAAAACGAGCCAAGAACTTTTTGTTTTATTAAATTTAATTAAAATCGAATTCATGAAACGTGAAAACGAATCCATCATTTGTGCTCATTTCATCACGGGCGGTCGAACGACTTAAGAACATCCTCACTCTGTGAGTTAGTGTTGGAAATTCGATTTAGCACGGCTGAAAAATCACACACAGCCAATCACGCAAACAATTTTGCACAAATAAATCAGAAAAAATGTGAACAAGTCCATGTAATCGAATTTCTTTTCACTTTCACGTTGTCCCTTTTGCTATTGTGCAAAATGTCGAATGGATTTTTGCCTACAACCAAATTGATTTATAACGGCAACAGATGTTTCTCACTGTATCGCAACCAAATTCAATTTCCGCACACATTCTTTCTACCTTTCAATGGCATATAGTGTAACGCCATGTTCTTTTGGTGGAAGGTTTTTTTTTTTGAATACCGTAATCGTTTGTCATATTTTCCAGCTAGACGCTATGTACTGGCTTACGAGGAGAGGGCTCTTTAAAAATGCACAAGCTCAAGATTTTCAATTTCGTTGCATGCCACACGTACATAGAGGTCTACGGTTGAGAATGAATGAATCGCGGAATGAATGGGAGAAAAACACGGCAAACCATGTTATTCCATTCAACGAAAGAAAAAAACTGGATTGATTCTATGTTTAGAATGAAATTCACCCACTTTTCCACTTTTTCTTCGTTTCCATTTAGTCAATGTTTGC